CGTGTCCCCCCCCCCGCCGACCCACTTTCTCCACTGACTGCAGCCACGGAGGAAAGGCAGCGGGCGTGAACTTCCCCCCCCTTGCGGATTCCACTGCAGGGGTTCCTCTGGGCCAGGGGAGTCATTAGACGCCAGTTTGCTTCACCAGGTGCGCAGGGACAAAGGCAGGGCTGTTCAGCCCCCCCCGGCTGACCTCCGGAGCCTCCCTGTGGCTTTGCTGGCCACGTTTGCACAAAGGGTTTCCTATTGGTGCCGCTCTGCGGGCGTGAACTTCCCCCCCCTTGCGGATTCCACTGCAGGGGTTCCTCTGGGCCAGGGGAGTCATTAGACGCCAGTTTGCTTCACCAGGTGCGCAGGGACAAAGGCAGGGCTGTTCAGCCCCCCCCGGCTGACCTCCGGAGCCTCCCTGTGGCTTTGCTGGCCACGTTTGCACAAAGGGTTTCCTATTGGTGCCGCTCTGCGCCCCAGCCCCTGCCGGGCTGGGCCTGGCCGCTCTGACGACAGCCTTGCCTCGCTCCGGCCCTGCCTTGGCTTGCGAAAGGACATTCAATGCTGGGGGAAGGTGCTGGGCAGACAGGCCTGCAAACTGGCGTCCTCTGCCAGTCGGCCAAGCAGACACGGGGCAGGGAAACGGGAGGGGCCGGGCCCAGGACAGAGGCGAGTGGAATCCACACAATGCGTTGTCCTTTGCAGAGCTCCGGAGACTCAGTCTGCTTCAAGCTACTGCCGCCCCCACGGGCGTGGCCGTTGGTCTCCGCAGCCAGGAGCGGCCCTGGGGATTTCCGCTGTGCCGCTGGGGAGCCAGCCAGCGATCCCTCTCCTCGTTCCTAGCCAGGTGTCGATTTTTCCACCCAAAAGTGGGGTACATTTTGTTCTGTGCACCGAGGCCGGTGCAAATGTGCACCACCCGTAGAAACAAGCCTAGTGGTGGGCGCTTTGCTAACCAGCAGGGCAGCATTGGACTCTCTTGAGCGGCCGCACAAGCGTCCAGCTTACAGGGAGCCCTGACTCCAAACCGCTTAGCAGAGAAAGGCCGGGCAGTCGCAACTCCTCTCGACACGGCTTTGTAACTCCCAGGTGGAAAACCCCCAGTCTGGGACTTAAAGGCTGGACATGAGGGCCGGAGCTGTGGACACGCCTTGCCTGTGTCGTATAGGGGCAAGCGTGTTGTTTTGAGGGAAGAGTGGCTAGAATAGAATAAATGAAACAGGAGAAATCCCCTGATCAGAATGTGCTGCTGGATCATGGCCAAGTTCTGGTCCCTCCCTGTGTTACCAAGACCACAGCGATGAGCACATCTCACTCCGAGGGCTGTAAAAATCCAGCTTGTGTCTCTCTAGTGACGCTGCTGCTTGCGGGCTGCGTTTTTCACGGGTGTTCCTCGGCTTGTAACTCCTGGGAGCCCCAGTCATGGATCAGGAGCGCCCTGTGTGGGCATGGGACAGACGACAGACAGTCCCTGGCCCTCAAAACTTGAATGAATCCTGAAAGACAAGTCACTTTCCTAGTCACTTCCTTCTGACCCTGCAGCAGTGAACACGTTGCATGCTGGGCAGGGGAGTGTTCACTTAATTAATTGATTTATGTTACCGTCTCTACTGAAATTTAAAATGAAGGAGGGGGAATCCTGGGAATACAGGTTGGACCCCCTCCCCTCTGGTCCGACACTCTCAGGACCTCTCTCTCTGTCTCCCTCTCACCCCAGCAGGTGCGCCTGAGTTTTCCACATACATACATACTTTCTCTCTCTCTCTCTCCCCCACCCAGCAGGTGAGCAGGTGTCTGAGTTTCTGGCCAGCCTTTAATTGGGGGGTGGGTTGCTGGAGCCTTATCTACACTACCACGTTTTATTGCCAAACACGTCCAGTTTCAGCGACAAAAAACTTCCACCTCTGCAAGAGACTTTTTTTTTTTTTTATGTTCCCCTCCCTTTGTCAACAAACATGCTGTGTAGACTCCACATGGGAGAGCAGCTTTCGGTCTCTTTGTACTCAGCTCCGGCTCCAGGCCTTCGGTGGCGGGAATACCTACGGAGGCATTGGACCAGCTCTTTGTTAACTCCCCCAGATCTTCCCAGGCCTTGCGTGCCTTGTGCCAACATCAGCTGTTTCTGCTCTGCCAGCAATTAGAGCAATGGGCTGGTGGCCCCTTTCTTGGGCAAAGACACGGAGGGGATTTGGGGGGCAGGAGGTGGGGGATTTGCTTGCACCCAAGTGCCATCCTCTCTTCCATGGCGCCTCTGGATGAAATAGACTCTCCGGGACAGTGCCCCGTGGGCTCTCGTTGCAGCAGGGTTAAAGATGGAAGAGCAGGAGACTCTGGGATTTCCACTCCGGCGCTGGCCTGGTGCACCCAGGGTTCTGGATCGCTGGAGGAATTTCTCCGCTCTCGGATGAAAGGGAACTAGGCAGGAAAGGGGTCAGGTTGCTGGGCTGACTCTACTTCCCAGAGAGATTTCTCACCCCCTTGCAGAGAGTCACTGAGGCACTAGCTGTGACCTCTGGGGGCATGGGGCTGATGAGCGTGACTCCTTGGTGGCATCCAAGGAACTAGAGGGATACTGTTGATTTTCCTGGTGCAGCAGAGCTTTGCAGATGGGAAACTGAGGCACACAAAAGCAACCAGACTGGGACAGACCAAAGGTCCATCTAGCCCAGTATCCTGTCTGCTGACAGTGACCAATGCCAAAGGGTGTGAACAGAACAGAGAAGCATCAACTGATCCTTCCCCTGTCGCCCATTCTCAGCTCCGGGCAAACAGAGGCCAGGGACACCCATGGTGGCTAACAGCCATTGACGGGCCAGAGGGGGGTGGAGCACAGAAGGGGCTGAGCATAAGGTGTCCGAAAGAGTCAGTAACGGAGCCAGGAAAAGAACCCAGCTCTCCCAGCCCTGAGTGTACCAGCAGGGCCCGGCTTCCCTGGATCGAATTAACCCTTTGAGTGCCTGCAGGTCTCTGTGCCAGTTTTAAACTGTCTTTCTCTGAAATGGAAAGAAAATGTAACGTCCTATCTGGGCCTGGGGCCAAGGGCACAACCCCGCATCCCAGCCCGTGCAGCTCAGTGAGTACACGCTCAGCAGGCTGCGTGCGAGCTGTGTGCGCACAATATGCGTGCGAGCACGTGCAAGAGGGAGGAGGTGGGAGAGCGCTGCGGTGGCGGCACATGCGTGGGAGCAAGCAGCAGGCTGGGCACGGGTGCAGGGGCACGTCGCTGCAGCCCCAGGGATAAGGCTGTGTGGGGATGTCTGATGTGCAGGGCACGGGGCTGTCGTGCAATGCACCGTGAGTGTGCGCACACGCACGTTTCGACGTGCAAGCCTCCCTCCCTTGCCAGACCGCGACCCTTGCCCTGGAGCTGCCTAGGAGAGGCTGTGTCCGGGGCCCCCATTCTGGTCCCTACCCCTCCTGGCTGGGGGGGGGGGAGCC